CGGCTTACTGATTGGCCTGGGAAGCCAGGTCCATGTTCCCCCGCGGCATTGCCGGTCAGAGGAAATCTCCCTCTGACCGAAAGTTCCAGTATCGGAGCATTTGGGAGAGTACAAGTACTCACCCAAATACCTTGTATCATTCCTCGATTAGAAGAAGAAAGCACCAAGTACATAGAACAAGCCTTTGCAAAGTGAATGTTGGTGAATATGGTGAAGCTGTGTTCACTGTGAATACCTAATCATGAGCAAAGGAAATTAAAAACGCATTTACCAAAATTCACTTTGATGAGTGAACAGCTTAATTTAATAAATCAACCCCACAATACAGCGTATCCCAGCCAATATTTATATCTTGGCTGGGATACTCCTTCAAGTAATATGAATTATACTAACACTGAAAGGCAACTGCGTAAAGAAGTCATTTTTCCAAATGTTAACTCGTGATACTTCTAAGCAGGGCTAGTATGTGTGACATCAAGGTCTGATTTGGCGATGGGGAGATACAGGTAGGTGGTAGGTGGTGCTTTCCCTGACAGCCAGGACACAAGAAGAAAACACAGATGAAATGCTATGTATACTTTGTTAAGAAAACAGCTTACCAACTGGCACTGAGTGATGTATTTCTTCCACCACAGATATGGGCGCATGGCTGGAATAGCGGACAGTCCATAGTAGGAATACATGAGAACATGAATAAAGCTGTTGAGTGTAGCACCAAAGTAAGCTGGAATAGAGAGAAATGCAGCTGTTAGTTATACACATGGATGACAGCCTATCTGCTGTGTAGGCCATGGTTTTCATCACTGCTGATCTTTATCATTGCTGGAAACTCAAAATTCTGGAACTCCCATATTCTAGGAACAGGAGACATTCAAGCCTGGAAAATTAATGAGCTTAGTATATAAGGGGAAACTGTACTAACTTAAATCATCCAATTATGTGTAAGCAAAATAAAAATGCTATTCTTCGCACTTAGCTTAGTGAATGAGGTGACGGTAAGTGAAAATTCACTGTGCAAAGTGAACATGCAATACACCCGACAATTTCCTGGAAACAAGGAGGCTGCAAACACAAAATGACTGGCAAGACACTGCAGCCCTGCCCTGCTCTGACAGCCTTGTAACCTAACGATGAGACACCCATATGAAATTCAAATTAAAGTAATTTGACAGGACTTTCTAACTTTAGCACAGCTGCTGTAATCCCTAGATAGCATGAGCAAGCTACCAATTGCCTAGAACTGCTTTTTAACCATTCAGTCATAAAGCATTTTCTTCCTCCCAAGTGTTATTTTTTTTTTTGTTCCAATTACTTTTGTTGTAGTCATATTATTTTAATCTCTATAATATGGGTTAGGTTCACTTTGTTGATTATGTTCAGGGGTGCCATAGGAGAACAGAGGTCCAGGGTTAACTTTGGGAGCTAAGAGATGGTTAATGTAAAGTTAAGGAGAACAAAATCATTTTAGGGGTTGAATATGTTAAGTGAAGAAGTTAAATTGAGGTTGTGTTTAGGGACCGAAGTGGAATTGCAGCTCTGCAGGAAGACACTAGTAATGTAGCAGCCGGATGGGACCACAGTGTGCAGCAATGAAACACATGCCCTGGAAGCATGGGATTCTGAAGACCCTAGTGACCCGTCTAGCTCTGCAAGAGAGTGAAGACTGGATTCACCAGCAGTGGTACTGGTAAGAAAACTATATGACCAAAAGTATGTGGCTGCAACTCCAAACTACTGAATTCAGGTGTTTCCAGTGAAGGGTACTGATACAGCTACAGCATACAGCACAAAGACATTTTAGACAATTGTGCACTTCCAACCTTGACACCATTCTTGTGAAGCTCTTTTCTGTCCCAACATTACTATGTCCCTGTGCACAAAGGCAGATTCATAAGGACATGGTTTATTGAGTTTGGTGTGGAGGAACTCAAGTTAGTTGCAGAGCCCTGACCTAAACCCCTATTAAATACCTTTGGGATGAATTGGAACGTTGATTGGGAGCCAGTCCTTCTATTTCAACATTGGTACCTGACCTCACACATGCTCTTTTTGATAAGTGGAAACAAAAGAATAAAAAAGTGAGCATGATCAGCATATCGTATGCTGAATATAAAGCAGTGATGTAGTGGGTCCAAAACATTGCTAGTTTGTGACTAACAAATGGCTCTATCTTCAGCCCACAATGTGCTAATGATACTCTATCATTGAAGATACTGGATAGCGATGCCATTCACTTTGCACTATTGCAAAACTCATTTTTGCACTTTGAGCTATAGTGCATTAAACATGGCTTCTAGGCTAACACAGGAGAACGTAGAAGATTGAGAACCTCATTAGTGCGGTGATGTCTCCTCACCATGTAATAAGCTAAGTGGGTGAATGAAGAAAAGTGAAACCACCAATCTGTCTATGTTGTCTAGCAGGGGTAGCTGAATCACAAATAGTTCCTGTGTATGTATTTCAACTGTTTATTTAGTGATATGCCTGAAGCTCAGCTTTACATCTTTCTAGTGTATTCTAAACAGAGCTGGAAAGGGCCAGACTCCTATCACGTCATCAAAGCAAATTTTATGACTAAGCACAATAGTTAACCTTGTAATGTCAGTACCTGGAAACAGTTTTTATTAGATATTTTTAAAAGAAAAGATTATGGTGTAAGTGGTATTTCCAGTTTAGCTAGTGGTCACAGAACTATGTTCCTCCTACATGATGTCTTTTTTATGAAGAATACTGGAAATAAGGGGAAATGCTTGAAAATGTGTTGAAATTCAAGATTAGTCATTTGTGTTACAATAAACCTGTATCTTTTAAAGTGACACTAAACTCCGCTGTTAAATCCTAAAAATGCTTTCAGATACCTTAACTAATAACAAAAATGTATCTTATTTGTGTATCACTCGGCTGTATATTCTCAAATCGACTCTGAATTGATGCCAACACTGTCCTTTCTTCTGGAGGGTGGGTCCTTTGGTTCCCCATGGTCCCTGTGTATATTGTACAATAACCACTGCTCCAAGCTCACTCCCATGATGAACTACAATCTCATTACAAATTAGTAAACTAAACATGAGATTATAGTCCATCACATGAGCAAGCTTGGAGTGGTGACTACTTTACACCACACACCAGGACCATGAGGAACAAAAGTAGCCGCCCTCCAGAAGGAAGGACAGTGTCAGCATGAAGTCAGAGATGATTTGAGGATCTATAGCTGAGTGATACACAAATAAGATACATTTATGTTAATAGTTGAGATACTTGCATGTATTTTTAAGATTTAATTCCTGAGTTTAGTATCACATTAAGATTGCACATTAGCTTCATCCTTCTTTAAAAATAGAAAGTCCCCACATACTACATAGGCAATGGATATAGTCTCTTAATATTTTTGAAGAAGGAACTCTGTAACCTGCTAGTCAGTAGGAAACCTGCCGAATTTTCCCTTCAATGAACAGCAAGTGGTATGTTGACATGAAGTTTGGCGTTGAGTTACCTTCTGTACCAAATGGGTAAAGCAACAAGAGTATAATGCCACAGAACAGTATGCGTGAAACCTTAAAAGCCCCACATCTTTGTGGTCTTGTTGATGCCACAGAACAGTGAAGGCCTATAGAACAAAAGAACATCATGGTCATGTAAGAGTTTTGCATGACCGTTATGTTCTTGTGTTCAGTAATTATAGGTCACTGATCGAACTCTTATTGAATTTGGAATCCAGGATATAAATCAATTTTTTTCCAAGCCCTATAGAACCCAAGGAGCAGAGATCTGGTCACAGCTATGAGCCCTGTTCCTACACCATCTTAGAAAATAGAATACCGTGTTTCCCCAAAAATAAGACACTGTCTTATATTTTTTTGCCCCCCAAAAAATACACTAGGTCTTATTTTTAGGGGCTGTCTTATTTTTTTTTTTTTAATGTGCAACAAAATGGTGATGCTGATCCCTTTCTGTCACTTTCACAGGCGGAGTGCATCTTGGATCACTCCGCCTGACATAGTAACCGGTGCTATAGAGGAAGTATCAGCTAATGCGGCTCTGCTCCCTCAGTTACCGCAGCCTTGCTTTCTACAGTGTTGGCTTCCTTTGCCATCAGGAACAGCGGTACCCACATCAGACATAGACAGCGCGGTAAAGTACGGTACCATTACAGTACAGTACCATTACATTAAGCAGTGCCTTCAGGGAGACAGCAGTTGGTGAAGTATGGTACTGGAGTGCTCCCTGTCACTGCGCTGGCCGGAGGGAATCCCCTGTCATCCCCTTAATACAGTATGTCCCTGCAGGCTGATACCATCTCTCCTGCTCTTCAAGTTCCCCCTCACATGCTACCACCAAACTAAGTCTTATTTTCGGGGTAGGTCTTATATTACAGGGATCTTGAAAAATAGTGCTAGGTCTTACTTTCGGGGTAGGTCTTACTTTGCGGAAACACGGTATTACAGTATATGTAAAACTTTTTTTCAGTTTTGGATAGAGTACGGAAGGGTTAAAACACCATCATTTTAATTGTTGCTGCATCCAGTTATGGAGTTTTCCCTTCACTCCCTGTCCTAAGAAGAGGTAAAGTGAAAGGAAATCTCTACAAAATGAGATGAATTCCTCTCTTAGTTGTCATTGGAACATGTTTCTGCATTAGAGAATTTCCTCTTCTTTTGTTTGGGTGACAGCTCTAAAATGTTGGATTTCCCATTCGGTTTTGTTCACTTTCATTTTACAGGCTTTTCCAATATGATAATTTATTGTTCTTTATACAGCCATATACGCAGGCCTACCCAAATGTGTGTTACTGTAGTGTTTTGACAACAATACAACTTTTACAAACACAGACAGCATATGACTGTAACGAAAACTATTCTTTGTGCGGTTTACTTTAAAGTAAGAAGCATATATGAATCACCCAGAAACAGATTTGAGCAGGCTAATGGAAAAAGGAGGGTGATGACTTAATTGTTTAATCATTTCATTATTTCAAGTTCTGACTAACATCAGACACTGCCTACCGAAAGGCGGTTTCAAGATTTCAGAGCCAGGAAATCCATTTCTGATACTATGGGAGATGAATGGGGTTTAGGTAAACTCCATCTTTATAGAGTGGATGATGCACCAAGGGTTTGAACTAACTAGTAATTTAGAGGCTAGTATCTGCCATCTCATTCCAACGCTTGGAGATGAAAATTGAAGCAAAGAAAACTAGGATGAAACTTGGACTGCTTGATCTTTACTGCCACCTCCTGTCCTTATTGCTTCCTTTTTTATTCCAAGTCTCTTACCAGAAAACAGGCATATTACGTAGAAAACGTATTTATATAAATAGGGTAACACTGCTTTTGCACCAACAAGCTTTGTGGGGAAGGTATTTGGTGTTTGCCACCATCACTGCTGTGTTAATGCAAAGCTACAATTGTATGGGCCAGCATTGGATAAGCAAACTTTGGTGCAGCATAGCTTTCAATACATAGCAATTATGATGATAACTGTGGTGACTGTGCCGCCCCAACAGGGGCATAGAATATGAGATGCATAGCCTCAGTTAAGATTAGCATTGTTATATAGGTTAGAATTTATATAGTGTGATTTGCCTAACTATTTTCTCATAGCTAAATCCATGTGTTATCCTATGCTGCCATCTAGTGGCCTTTTGTTGTAACAAACATGTTTGCTGTAATTATTCCTCATGTGACGATGTATTTTCCCCTAGTGTAGCCCCACCCTTCTTCCTGTGTGCAGTACTTCCTGTGTCATGGCAAAGCTAGAAAGCCACATGTAACAAGGACACTCAGGTAATCTGCACAGTACGTAGGAAAGGCATCATTTTCTGACCGCACAATACTATAACCGTTCAACTGCTGTTCCTATCATCTGCTGTAACCTGATGTAGAAGAATAAACACCTTTTTTGAATGAATCGGTATTGACGAGTTCAGCTATCTGACGAGGATTGTCCGCAGTGAGTATATCTGCTTATACAGGCCAGGCATAGAGGTCTCAGCAAGGGATATATCTCGCTATCACAACGATCGGAGTCAGAATAGTGACAGTTGTGAGATAACCAAGTAGTGTTTAGTGCTGCAACAATGATCCCAAGGTACTTACAATGTCCGCAAGGTACCCAGTTCATGACAAACCACCAAATGGTAAGCATAGAGGCGTGATGGTAAACATGCAGGACGGTAATTTGGTGGTTATTTTTGCGGAGGATGAAGAAAAACGTATCCATAAATTCAATCAGTTTGGAGAAGTAGTACCACCACAGGACTCTGATTATCTGTGAAATAAACAAACATATTAGGGTTTATATAAATAAAACGGATACTAGTAGAATTTGGCAACATAGCTTACAAATATCATGAACCTACTGAGCTTAGTAAGGATTAAAAAAATGAGTATCAGCACATTGTATGGTCAAGATAACGCCATTCATTGGTCACAAACAAGACACATTTCGGAGCCCATACATCAGCTCCTTCATCAAGCAGTGATGATGGAGTTGATGTAAGGGCTCCAAAATTTTCCTTGTTTGTGAATAACAAATGCCTCTATCTTCAGCATACAATGTGCTTATAATACTCTATCAATGATGTTACTGAATAGGGGCACTATTCACTTTGCATCATTGCAGAACTAATTTTTGAGTGACTAGAGTGTACCACATTCCCCTTTGTATACTTAGACTTTCATACTCATAGTGACAATACAGCTTTCCAATTTGTTACTTTGGTAGGATCTTAGTGACACCACATCTAGTCCATAAACCAGAACCATTCGCTTTCGCCAGTTATGGGGGACAACAATTCATCTAGAGCTGTGGTTCTCAAACTTTCTAGAGCCGAGACCCCTTGGTAACATTTGCCAAATTGTGGTGACCCCCAACGGTAAAATTATTATTATTTTTTATTATTATAATTATTATTAGGGATGCACTGATACTGGTTTCTCAGTATCGAGTACAAGTACCGATATTTTTACCAATACCGGTGCTGTGTGCTCCGATTATCAAGAAGCCGGGCGGCGGGTCATGACCTGCTGCCTGGCTTCCTGACTGCTTGGGAAGCCATTGTTCTATCGAAAGAACACCACTTTCACTTCCCGAGGCTGCCTGGCTTCCTGACCGATCAGGAAGCCGGGCGGCACTTCATGACTAGCCGCCCAGCTTCCTGATTGGTCAACCACTGCTCTAGATTAATTGTTGTCTCCCATAACTGGCGAATTGGTCAGGAAGCCAGGCTGCCTAGCAACAAGTGAAGCCGGCTTCCTAGTCAATCGGGAAGCCAGCTCCATGCTCCCTCAGCACTGCCAGTCAGAGGGAGGTCTTCCTCTGACATGACGTTCCGGTATCGGAGGGAAGTATCGGAGCATTTTGGCAAGTTTTTTTTGTATATTTTTATTGCTTATCTTTTACTTTTTTTATATAATTTTTACTTTATTATTGTTTACTTGTTATCACTTTTTTATTTCGTTTTTAAATTTTTTAAAATCTTATTTCTTAAATTTCTTTTTTTTTACTTTTTAGCATTTTTTTCCCCACATAGCTCCTGTGTGATATCAATAAAGTTAACAAGCCCCTGTGTGATAGCATTTGGAGGTGACGCATTATTTTTATTGAACCTGCCACCACCAATACAGGGGTTCTAGCAGAGCACTGTGCTGGAACTCCTGTGATAGCTGAGAAAGGAAGGATCAGTTTTCCCGTCTCAGTGTCAACACGGAGAAGAGCGGAGAACGGGCACTCTCCATCCTGAAGCAATTTGCTGTGGTGCAGGGTCCCCCAGAAGAGCGAGGGACCCTGAAAATCACAGTAGGGAGGGAAACAGCCGCCAGAGGGGGTCGATGAGGGGCGGCAGCGCGTGGTTGGGAAGGAGAAGCAGGCTAATTACAAGTGATATAGGTGGCTGTACAGCCGCCAAAATCACTTGACCGGCTCCCCCTCAGTACATTTAGCCCTGCTTGTGCAAAGCAGGGCTAAATGTAGAAAAAACAAACAAACACTTGGCTGCTGTCAGCTCCCCCTCCTGCCGTGGCTGCTGCAGCAACATCTGGCGGCCGGCATGAGAACTGACACTGTTGTGCTAGGAGGAGAATGAGGAGCCTCTCACCAAGCACAGCAGAAGACACACGGCGACCCACTTAACAGGGTTTTGCAACCCACAGGTTGAGAACCGCTGATAACAAATGTGGCCCTTTATTTTCTGTAGGAATTTAAGGTGCAGCCAAACAGTATGCATTAGATGAAAAGTGCGTAAATTTTATAAGGACTAACAAAAAAAAATGGACATGTAAACCCATATAAATTAGATGTTAGCAAGTCATGTTTCAGAAGTGAAGATAC